AAAATAAATAGTGTCAGGTAAAAGCTGCAGTGAAGGTGAAAATAATTATATGGGTTGCAAGGATTATTTGAAGCAATTCCAGGTGTGGGGGTTGATCAAACCTGCCAATTTTTGGTGTAAAAAGGTCATTTCACCAACACTTTTGGGGAGGTACTTTACTATATACTTCTGGTCATGGTATTAATTATTTTTTTACTTCTTAATAAGATTGACAACATTGTTTCATATTAGTAAATGAAATCTGTTGCTGGAGTCTTTTGTTTTTGATCATAAACTAAAGTCCCCGGTTGCCATGTTCTGTTAATTTGTCCACGTTCAATCGCCTCACGTTGTGCCATAGCCATACAGCTAGATGCATAAATTAATAAAATACAATACAATACACCGGCTATTCTCCGATGGAATTGAAGCTATCCATCCCATCTCCCGAACCTAAAATATTGTGACATTTCATGATTACCCCAATAGCCGCGCATTTTGCTAAGGAATGCCGTTTTCCCATGATTTTCCGTACCTCTATGTTTGTAACGTTGCGCGACAACGGGAACTAATACCCCTGCTGTCCCCCGAGCTCATTGGCAATTCAGCAGAGCTCGCAAAACCCCCGAGGGTCCAATAAACCACAAATTCATAACCTACTATGCACACCGGACGGCAGGGCACAAGCCAAAGTTTCATGGCGTGTCAGTCACTCATTAGTCACCACTCAGAACCGGTAAGAACTGCGTCTCGTCCAACACCGTCCTCGATTCTAGGCTTGATTTTAGCCAGCCCTCCGTTACAATTCGCGGAATACGTGAGCGCCTGCGAATGGTAGTAAGTGCGTGTCGAGGAAGAGTAGTGTTCAGGGTATTTACCATTTTATCGCTTCCCTGAGTTCGGTGAGTCGTTTTTGGCCGTTGGAAGCAATGACGTGCGTTATTCCTGTGTCCTGAAGGTCGTGAGCGATACGAGCCCCAGCGAACAGAGCTAGGAACGCCGATGATTTGAGGCTGGAAAGATCTAGTTAGTGCAGGTCAGGCATCCTGGGTGAGAAGGCGAGTACTTTTCCTTCACCCCCCCTTGCCCTTCCCTGTCGACGTAGATAACAAAGGTCTTGAACATCCACCCAGGGAGTTTGTCGAGCTCTTGCCGATCACATTCACCAAGGCCCTTAACGAAGTCCGCTGTGAAAGTCTGATCGAAGGTTCCAGGCATATCTTGGAGCAGCTAGTAACCGTGTTAACCATTTTCAGTTTGGAGGATAACAGGAGAGATGTTTACTTCACGTAGCTCTTCCATAGTAAGGTCTCGGGCATAGCTATCACCAAATCGATCTACAGCAGCGGTTGCTCGTCTCTCTATACTACTGGCAGCGTATAATATGTGCCTAGGGACAGAAGAGGGATCAGCGATGAGACCACCACTAGTGATTAACGAAAGTACGTAGCCTATACCTAGCTTCAACAGGAATTATGTAGTAGCCCTTCCGACCACACTGTAGGTCCAACTCGTGTTGTCGAATGCAATCGAGCACCCACGTGGGGCGAATGATATCGTGAGTTCCCTTCTTCTTCAGGGCGGATATTTTGACGTTATCTAATGGGTTTGAGATAAATCTTTGGTGATTTAAGGGAGGTGGAAGGGGGAGCCTTACTCCTATCTCCGATAACATATATATCGGAAGTTGTGCACTCAGTTTGATATATCCTTCCGCCGTGAGATTTGATGAGTTGTTCAATCTCAGCCTTACCCATCTTTTTGGGTGCCGCGGCGTCAGACATAACATCTATGGCAGAATTAGTAACCCATGCAGTAGGAATAGCTCTGAGAGGTGTACAAAATGAGTGCCCCTGGAAGAGTTGTGAGCTACTCCCAATCCCTGCCAAAATAAAATCTGCGGGCTTATCACTCGCTCCAAGAATAGCATATTCACGCTTCATTCGCTTCCCAGGTCTCCGTTTCCGGTTCTCGACCTCTATTCTCTTCTCTTCATCTTCCTTATCCTTCTCAACCTCCTCCTTGAGCGCGATGAGCTCTGAAATACTAAGTGCACTCTGCCAGTCCTTGTCCTCACGGATGTGCCTGAATCGCGGAAATCGCAAGGATTTGCCCACACGAAACTCGTCGGTAGGGACAATGCTAGCAGCCTTTACCTCCAGGACGACAGACTTGTCAGGTCTAATCCAGACGTCGGGTTGATCAACGCCGCGCCCCCCTGGCGCAATCTCAACGTATTCGTTGGGCGGTTTTTTGGGATCCCAAGGGACCCACTGAGAGTCGGTCATATGAGCGATCTTAGAGTAGTCGTTCGCAGTGAATCCACCGCCGACTTTACAAAAGGAACGGAATTTCATTGGATTTTCCCCGGGCTTGAGATGGTTCCCATCCACACGCAGGCCGCAGAGATAACTCGATAGGATTCCACCTCGTGTGCCACTGCCCCAATAACCTCCCAAGACGACTAGGTCTAGTGATTCACCAAACTCTGTCATGTATTCCGGTTTGACCTTCATCCAGTCGTCGTTTCGGTCGTTCAGACGGTATACACTCCTTGGGTTCTTTAAGAGCATGAGCTGTGATCATGGATCCGCACCCGGCCAAAATTCAGGAAAGGTGCAAACCTTGATTACCAGGCCTTCACTAGCCTCAGCTATGACCTTTCTAAGAGCTCTTTCGATTTCAGCGGCCTCTCGCGCTTCCTCGTACTCGTGGACCTCCATTCTACGGTCCACAGTTTTGACGCTTCGTTCAAGTGCAGTGCGTCTATCCCGCAAGGAATAGTTGATTAGACACTCGCCATTCAGGTGAAGGATATCGAATATCCTAACTGCAAGTATGATGAGCGGATTGAGGACGATGCTAAACAACGTAGATGAGATAGTTACATAAAGGCCGAGGACCATCACCATACGGATTCCGGATCCCCTCAAGCGCTGCGCTTTTAAGGGTTCCAAAAGCAACTATGCAATCCAATCTTGGGTCCCACGTAATCATCTCACCATCCAGGATGATACTATGTTCTTGGTCAGAGTTGATACCAGGCAGCAAATGTGATAACTACGAATGTACCTTTTAACACAATTATGAAAGGCACCGCGAAGATGTCTTGTTAGGCTCCCATCATCGAAACAGGAGCCATAAAGCCTCGTGTAGTCTTTAGCTTTGCGACTCCAGAACATGAAATTGCCATCCTCGTAGTGCATTTGCATCCGCTCGCCATCCAGCTTTTCTTCAATCCAGAAAACGGGGTCTTCGGGAGTAAGATGCATAGCCCCGACGGCATCATCCAAGGAGCGTTTCTGAAACTGGGCTAGTTGCGGTTGGAAACATGACATTAATGATACCGATTTGCCCTGTATGATGGGGGTAAGTTAGATTCGCAGGGATAGGGGAGAGGAGTGTGAAAGGGAGAAGTGCACATCAGAGTCCATGCGGAACTCAAGATCCGAGAGTTCCCAGCAGACACGCTTAAGTGAGGATGATATATTGAAAAGGGCAGCGGCATCAGGGTGCCAAGCACTAAGTACCAAAATTAGCTGTACTGATTACTGGACGGGCGACTCAACCAGCTTCCACGCGGAAAGGAAGTGCATATGTGAAGTTTGAACCACGATGGTAGGAAAATAACCAGACTCACTCAAAGAAGGTTCTTTCTGTGGCACCAACTTTCATTTCTGTGCTCAAATGCACAATCAGTAAGTCTTTCAACGGTCATATCAGAAAAGGAGTCGAGCATACGTCTCATTATGATCCTAATCAACCACATTAGCTCACTGGCGTTCATGTTGTTGTAGAACTCAGTCATGATCGGAAGCTGCTCTTCCCTGGATACCCATATATCATTAGGGGAAGCCCAACCATAGTCACCAATATTGGGAAGGAAAGGTACTCTTTACTCGCTAGCGAGAGACGGTCTAGCATAGAGTTTACTTGGTAAATCGTCAGGTTTCCGGGCGTTGTGCGCATTGGCCGTTTCCTAATGATCTCTAAATTGCCACATTAACGGGTTAGCATGACACGAAGGAAATGTAAATTTGACTGCTAAGGAGACGATAGTGGGACAGCTGTTAGCAGCGGTAGGCAGTTCCGAATAGGAAGGATGGAAATGGCTGAATACTACCATAACAGCGAAGCGCAAAATCCCCAGCGCTCTTGGATGTGCCAGGTTGTTTCCAATTGATTAGCGCATAGCCATCATCACTATCCTTATTGATCTTCATGACTTTGACTAAGAGTCTACCGATGGTTTTTTCCTTGAGGTGATACCTAATTTGTGGATCGGCATTAGAAAAATGATGATGCTACCTGTACAAGTACAACATACACGCTTCTATCCCTATCCTTTTCGCAGAGAATCAACCTAAGAGGAGGATATATGTCATTGCCAACTTCGTTACGCCAGCGAGAGATGAACCGATCGATGATATTCCTTCGAATCTCATGAGGCTTTAATGCTTTAGCCCCACGGATGCCCACCCCAATTTTCTTCTTTTTATTCGCCAAGAGAGGCTCAAATAGGGAGAGATAGAGATCCGCAAAAGGTAACGTAGGGTTCTCATTTCTAGGCCGATTCGGGTACGCTCGATCAAGATCGGCCTCAGTGAGAATCGTGTTGGGCCCGAACGCATCCCCAGATGGGTCTACAGGAGCCCTTGGGATATCTGGGAGGTCAATATCATCGATATCAGACATTTTGAGTACGGAGGCGAAGTGAAGAGTGGGAATGAACTGTGTGTTGAGATGTCTCGGAGCTGGGTGGCCAAGAGCACGAGGGTCAACATTAAAAGACGTGACTCACAACAACGCGTTGAGGCTCAAAAGAATCAGGCGATCCGTTTCAATATCGACACCAATAATTTACAGTACTCGAGTACAAGTGGCAGGGGAGATCTTTTTGTATACGACAGGGTTTATTTTGCAGGTTAACCTAAATTAACTGTTTTGATACTTTTTTCCATTTCGCTCTTTCTAAACTAAACTAAAGTATCTGCACTTTTCCTCAACTCTCCATCCATACAATTTAATCCTTCCAAATTTCTTCAATTCCCTCTGCTCCCCACATTCTTCCCCTCCACTTCCCTAATCCCTCCCATGATACTTACAATAGGTACCATTTGGAGGATTCAGTCTTCCTCTCTCTCCTTCTCCTATCTCTCAACCTTCTCATATGCTTTCTTACTTCTCTTAACATCTCCCTTCTTCCCTCCCCTGTCCTCTCCTTCCTCCAACTCCCCCAATTCTCTCTCCACATCTATGTTAATGTCTCCTTCCTCTTTTTATCTCTTATTATCTTCCTGCTCTTCCTACTCCCCTCTATCTACTGAGTCCTTCTTTCAAATTCTGTTATCCTCTTTGTCTCCTCTTCTCTAATTAACAAACAATCTATCCATTTTCACCCATCCTTTTCTTTCTCAAACTCCACTCTACTATTCTCTCCATACCTCTTCCCTTATCTCCTTCTATAATAAGAATCTTACTAAAATATAATGTCTTTGACCTAGTTATAGGATACCCCCAGGTTATGGAACACTTTCAAAACTTATGTACAACATAAAGAATTATGAACTACCATAGCAGTAGATGATCAATTTGGCAGCAACTAGGAAGAAAGACTATCCGCATAGGGTAGAGTATATAATATAAAATTTAGATTATGTTACATAAAACCAGAATTGTTATGGGAAAAAGTATCGGATATGTGAGATTTTATAATTGTACCAATCAGCAATTTTTCAACAATACACAAAAAATAGTAAAAATATATTGTGAGCTACATTAATTAGACTAAATCTCTCCTTAAAGCTAGCAGGTAAAAGTATTGTGATTAGATAGTTAGTAGAATCAAGTCATTAACTTGAATAAAGGTGGAAATTTCTTTATTTTAACAATATTGTACTATATAAGAAAACTTAAACCACAATAGCTGTAGAGGTTCAATTGAGCTACAATTTGAAATATTGAATATAGATATCACATAAAATATACTATATGAGTATTATTATCTAGAATCTAAAGGAAGAAATATTGTTACAAAAAATAATAATACAAGTAAGATTTTATGATTGTGCAAAAAAGTAATTATTTGAAAATACAATAAAAATAAAAAAAATATTCTGATCTTAGGATTAGGAAGAAAGAGGAAACTTATTAGAGTTGAGATAAGTTGAAGAGGTTAAAATAGTGACTATGAGATAAGTCTTTGTAGATTGAATCTTCCACTTTATTTACACTGATAACTTAGCCTTGCCAGATTGCTAATCAATATACTTTAATATTTTTACTTAAATTAAGAATAATGTCTATCTCATCCTTGCATCAGAATATATTTTTTTCTATTTTTATTTTATTTTCAAATAATTACTTTTTTGCCCAATTATAAAATTTCACTTGTGTTATTGTTTTTTGTAATAATATTTCTTCCTTTAGGTTTTAGATAATAATCCTCATATGAGTACTGTTTTGGGAAAATGATCACACTTTCCAGTTACCACAAATCAGGTTGTATAATTCTCAAAATTTTGTAGCTAATAGAGAAGGCTCTAAGCTCTGTGAAATATATTTGAATTTAAATTTGGAGCAATATTAGACCTATCTGTCTCTTCTTCTTAAAGTTGGTTTGGTTGATATGGAAATTGGATTTAGTGGTAACTCAAAATAAAAAAACACATAAGTGTAGTTATTTTCTCAAAACAGTACCCATATAGTATATTTTATATGATATCTATATTCAATATTTCAAATTGTAGCTCAATTGAACCTCTGTATCTGGTATGGTTTAAGTTTTCTTATATAGTATAATATTGTTAAAATAAAGAAATTTTTACCTTTATTCAAACTAATAACTTAATTCTACTATATATCTAATCATAATGTTTTTACCTGCTAGCTTTGAAGAGGGATCCAGTCTAATTAATCTAGCTTGCAAAATATTTTCACTATTTTTTATATATTTTTGAAAAATTCCTGATTGGTATAATTATAAAATCTTACCTACTCTATACTTTTCTCAATAAGAATTCTGGTTTTATGTAATACGATCTAAATTTTAAATTAAATACTCTAACCTATACTGATATTCTGTCTTCCCCATTGGTACCAAATTGATCATCTACTGCTGTTGTGGTTTATGATTCTTTATGTTGCATACAAGTTCTAAAAGTATCGCATAACTAGGGGATATTCTATAACTAAGTCAAATACATTAATCTCTATCCTCTACATCTCCACTCTTACACTTACTTCTCCTTTTCATATTCCTCAACTCTCTTATACTCCTATAATTTAGCCTTATCTATACTAGCTACTGGTTTTTCTACCCTTTTCTGTTATGATCTCTTGCACTACCTGCTCTCATTCTAAAATATTTTTCTCCTTTCCTTCCCCTTATGCACTACTTCTTCCATCTCCTTTTGTCCTACTTCTTTCTGCTTAGTTTTCACTTATACTATATTTGAAAACATCTTTCTATTTGTTATCTTCTTTGTTATCTTACAATCACTCTGTTACTTATTTATTCTTTTCTCATTTTCTTTCAATACCAGTATGTCCTAGTACCTGTACTGATTGAATCTTTAAATCTGTTCTTAATAATCTCTTCCTTACCTCCAATACTCTATATTCTGTTTCCACATACATTTCTCTCCCTTTTCTTAATTTCTTTAACACCCATATATTATTCAGTCTTACTATCAATCTTCTCTTCTCTTCTTTATAATCCTCCTCTACTCTTCTTAGCCCCTGTTTAGTAGGATACAAAATAAAAAAACTCTCTTTTTGTTGAAAATGAAGTATTCTGTAGAATAAAAAAACTTGGTTTTTATAGAAATACTAGTGTTTAGCAGGCCTGAGGTTTTTTTTTCTACTTAAATAAGTGACTGTCATTTCAGGTATAATCTATGGTGAAATACTATAAGGTATAAGCTGCCCTCCTAAATTAAGAAATTCATTAACAGGATCTTTTTTTCTCTATTAATACTCCCATACCCCCTACCATTCTATCAAGTACCATCACATCTACTTTTTCTCTGCGTCTCTGTTCTCTTCACCTGTTTTCTTACTATCTTTTATCTATCTATTGCTTCTCCTCTGACTGCTGTAATCCTTATTTCCACTCCAAGTCTCTCTAGCCCAGCACCATACTTAGGGTCCTCAGCTTTCCTCAATGCAACTTGTTGCTCTATGGAATTTCTCTCTCAGACGACAGATTCTAAACAGCTTTGTCTTTATGCTACGTTAGATACTTCCCAGCTCTCAGTTTTCCTCAGAATCTGCTACTTTTGGTTCACCTCTATTCTGCTCTTCAATCTTTAGCTCTACTTGCTTTACTTGTATTCTCTCACCAACTCTCTGTACTAATTAGACCTGTGCTCTCACCAGCTATATACTCTTATAGGTTTTCAGTTCTTATTGGCTCTGTGGTCTCACTAGTACTAGTAGTGGCCTGCTCAAATTCGAAGTTCTGTTTCTCAAAATACGTATTCTCTATAATTCCAGTTTCTCAAATGCTTACATAAGTGGCTAAATTTGCCTTTGTATAGCATCTGCAACTATTATAGCCTCATGGGAAATAGTATCTGAATTGGTGATACAGAGAAGTTTCCCATAGAAGCCTTACCCCAAAGTATACAAAATAGACAATATACGGAGCATGGCTTCAAGAAAGTGACCTGGCGGGTAGTTGTACAGCAGTTAAACTCATGCTTTGCTCATCTTATTGCAAAACCCTTTACTCCTGCCAAGGTTGCAGTTAGGGTACTGCAACCCCCAAAAATTTGCTGGCTCAGTTTTTGGCGGCACTCATCCTGAGTGCCCGACAGCTCAACATCACTTTGCTGCTCAACATTACTTTTGTGGCTTTGCATCATTTTTCTGGCTCAATACCACTTCTGTGGCTCAACCTCACCTTTGTAGCTCAATCTCACCTGTAATTCTATGTGTTCTATACTTGTAATTTTAAGTATTATATTTTAATAGTTTAGTATAAGGTATCTATAATAAATTCAAGATTACTTTCTACATGTTTACAGAAACTCTCTATCCATAAGACCACAATTTTTCCACTATATACAAATTCCAAAAACTTCATAATATGCTATCTACACTCTCTTTTACCTTGCCGAGGAAAGAAAAGAAGAGATAGAGGTTAAAAAGGCAGAGCAACAAGTGCTACAAGCTCAAAATGCTCAAAAATGAGTTGAAAAGGCTGAGTGAAAACTACTACTAAAATCTGATGAAATAAAGGCATGTGTGAAACAAAGACACCTTGTGTAAGGATAATAAAAAAAATTTATCCAAAATGATAATTGCAGGTATTAAGAAGCAAGTAAAGGTTGAAAAAAATTCCTGCATACTAAATTTTGAATTCTTTCTACTATATTAAAAAAAAACAGTTGGTAATGAAAAATCATGTTACATAAAGCCACAGAAGTGATGTTGAGCCACAAAAGTGAAATTGAGCCACAAAAGTAATGTTGAGCTACAAAAATGATGCAAAGCCACAAAAGTGATGTTGAGCTGCAAAATGATGTTGAGCTGTTGGGCACTCAGGAAGAGTGCCGCCCAAAACTGAGCCAGTGAATTTTTGGGGGTTGCAGTACCCTAACTGCAACCTTGGCACGAGTACAGAAATACAAGTCAAGTAGAAGGATGTTTTTTTTTTGTTTAACTCATTGATTATTTGTTAAGGGTACAAAAAATGTATG